CACCCCCCATACAGTACGAGCCCGCGTATATACAATATCACTCCGACCTGGGATCGATCGCGGCTGGATCGGTCCTACAACTAATCGGCCTAGGTTAAATCCATGGGGAAATACCCAGTGTTACCCTAAAGTTAATTACAAGGTATCTGTACAAAAGGTAAAGGTCTACATATATGGAGAGCATAAACTTCGGGAAGTAAGTCAAACTTAATACTCGACCACTAAATTATTATTGTTCATCATCTTCATCTCTCGAATTCGAACTTGAGCGTCGGAGAGTTTTGCCAGAAAATGTGCCCTTTTGCAGGTACTCTATCCGACGAACTGGCATAGGAAGCTCTACCTTTGAACTGGAGATCACCTAAGACCGGAGTCACGTGCACCGAAACTTATCATATATATATATATATATATATATATATATATCTTTATAAAAAAAGGTTGAGTTTTTATTCAAATCTCAACAAATGCAAACTACATTGGAAGAGCAAACAACCAAGATTAAATAAGACTTATGTGGCTATGTTGATATGGCCAACCTGTGAAACCAACAAGAAGGAGCCACATGTCTTGATTATGTTGCAATTAACTTTAGAAAAAACTTATCGTGGAAGCATACATGAATCTATAGAAGATTGGTTTGGGGATCATGCCTTCCTAGTCCACACGTATGCGATCCTCTCAAAAAACCTATAGCTTTCTCCATAAGTATGTCGAGGGGATACGTATGACCTAGCAACCATAACCCTTTATATAAATTAAGTTATATAAATTTAACTCACCTTAAATGGTTCAAAATTATCCCGAAAGATATACCAAAACTAAATACACTAGCAATTCTTTGATGTGGAGTTTTTTTACATTGAATTGACTTGAATTTAAATTGAAACATGAGGTGATTCGTTCATCTAGGACTAGAGATTTCTTTCTTGTCTCGAATTTGGTTGAATGTGTGATTGTTCATCTTGTGCAAGTTCTGTGATTCCTAGTGTTAGTCGATTAATCACCGTCTAATCTAATTGAACAACTTGTAGAACCTACGGGGAGGAGTTATTCGACCTAGGCTTGCATATGATTGGTTTGTTCATAATTGTATTGTTTACGTGTTAATAGCTTCGCCAATTTGTCGTTTATATTTGTTCTCTTGTTAGAAAGAGTTATTGAGCATAAACCTCTAGATGTTTAGGCTTGTCGAATCATTTAACCGAATAAATAGGTGTTCAACATAGATTTAAGACTTGAATAGATTTCACTACGTCCTACACCTTCTTCTCTTTCTCTAATCATTATTTATTTGTTTTTCTAGCTAGTTGATAGTTTTTAGATAATTTACACAAATCAATCGTCATTAGAACATTTAGGACCGTATTTTATTTTATTTTTTCATTTGTGATCGACATTATCTCTAGATTCTGAATCGCCTTCCTATAGAACGACAAGAAATACACATTTTTTTTATTTAGGGTGCAGATGAAAAAGGATCAAAATAAAAAAAAAATGTCAGATTTTAGGAACAAGTTTTAAAGTAGTTAATACAAGGATGCAAAAATTGAGTTTGACAAATTTTAAATATTTGCATTAATGTTAGTATGCAATAGAGATAAGTAAGCTGTTACTGATAAAGAGATAAGAAATGTGTGAACTTGTGAATATTGATGATACACCGGTGAGCCTTAAATATTTCGTTCTTTTTGTGTTTTACGAACTCTTCTATCTACGTTGATTCAGACATGTTGGTATTGAATTCCACTATTTCAGATGATGAATTGAAAATATTCTAACATGTGTGCTTACCCAATCAACATAATGCATACAAATGCAGCAGTGTTAAAACTCTTGAGGAAGAGCTTTGCCGCCCTTGTGGTCCTACCCGGCTCGATTCCGGATTAGTCGGTTCCCCTGTGGATCCGGAAACCGAAAGGTCCTGTACCAAAAAAAAAAAACATAATGCATACATAATAAACGACTCTTGCACTTGAGATACAATCACTAATCCCATCATTTTCCCCCCAAAAAAATAACTACAAAGATCCCGGCCCATGTAACGCGTGCATACACAAGAACTGATCAGCACTTGTAAGTGTAACACCTGGCCACCACCACAAAAACCCGACCGGCTTCTTGTAAGTATACCACCTGGCCACCACCATAAAAACCCCTAGATTCACCACGCTCAACCCCGCCATCAGCCAGTAAAAATAATCGAGATGCCCGTAGTTAAGGTTGTCCGGAATCCACCCCACTCTACTGCTCACGAGCAGCGTGCTCAAATAGCTCCCGAGGCCCACCATCGTGAGCTGCAGAGCCGAGCACAGACTCCTCATTGAATCCGGCGCCTGCTCGTAAAAAAACTCGAGCTGACCAACAAACACAAACACCTCGGCACACCCGACGAGAAAATACTGCGGGACCTGCCATAAAATCGACATCGGTACTTCTAACATTTGGTACGCGTTGTGTCGTCTCACGTAGCCTAGGCGGACGAACTCGAGGGCTCCGGCCGACAACATGGCAAAAATCGAGATGAAGAGGCCCGTGCCAATGCGCTGAAGCTGTGTCAGCCCATTTGTGCGGCCCGTGAGCTTGCGGGCCGCGGGGACAATGAGGCGGTCATAGATGGGGACCCAGAAGATGATGCTGAGAGTGTCGAATATGCTGAGGGAAGCTGCAGGGATTCGGAAGGTGGATCCTCGGACGAGGTGGGGGTTCATGGTGAGGCCCTGGAGGACGAATAAGGTGGAGATTTGGCTGTACACTACCGAGAAGACGATGCCAGTGGCCCACACGGGGAGAAGACGGACAATGGCTTTGAGCTCCTCGACTTGGGTGACGGTGCAGAGAAGCCATGGGTTCACGGGCCCTGTTTCGTGATCTGACGACGACTGTGTCTTGACTGCAGCCTTGTCAAAAAACCTGTAATGGATTAATGACATTTGTGAATTATTTTTCTTTACACGCTATTATTTATGGGGTATGACAAAAAAATGCACTAATTAATTAGGCCACATTTTATTTACTATAATGAATCTCTACACAAACATATACCTGAGATCATTGATATGTCTGAGCTTGCGGCTACCCCTGACCGTAGACTCTACATCCAACGTCTCGTACAGAAGCGACACATCATCGGGAACACGGACCCCACACTTCCTGCACGACGCCACCAACACCTGGCACAAGCGCACGAGCGGGCTTCCCTCGAGCCTTTGATTCCGGTACAACCGTGTTCCGGAGAAGAAAATCGCAACTGCCACGACCATAGAGGCTGCCGGGATCCCAAAGCCCGCTGCCAGCCCACATTGGTTTGGATCCACGTAAGGACTGAGGCGGCCAAAAGGGCCCCCACGTTGATACACATGTAGAACCAGTTGAAGAAGGAGGCCTTGTGTCTTTTTTCACCTTCCTCCATGTAAGAAACTGGGGGAAAAGGAAAGCACATATGAAGCCCAAATGAGGTTCCATCCCAAAACCAATTGGTGAAAGGAGGAGTAGCCCATTAAACTTATAAGGTGGGTCTATTTTCTATGTGTGAACGATGTGGGACAACTCACAAGTGATATTCTAACACTCCATATCGTCAAACTGGTCGGCTCCAAAGGATGAGACGCACGGCTTGATGCCGCCCGTCCCAACAGCGATCAGGTAGAGCGATGTGAAACAGGCGGCGGACTGGGTGGTGGTTGGCCCGTGGCTGGTGGGTTTGAGGCCAGGAATTGAAGCCGATAGTGTCAACATTGTCGTTCCCTGTGTGAGAGACTGGAATTAATCAGTTCCTTTGTTTTTTGTTGTGTTGAGTTGGTTGAAAATTTTGAATATGTTTTTTAAGTCTCAATAAACTCCAAAAATTGCTCCGACCGTTCAATTTACGATGTGGGTAGTAAATTCAAATATTATGATATCTCTAAAAATATTTTTACTATTTCAGTGTTGAATGTTGAATAATATCACCCAACTGTGGTAAACTGGTAATCAATACATAACAAAACCATGTAACTAACGCATCATTAATATCAGTATGTTTTATATGTACCAATTACTGGTTGTAATCTAATTTTATTACATGGTTCTTTAATCGAATGTAAAATATATAGTAGTTGGGTAATAATTTGTAAAGGTACTAAATATATGACTAAAAATTGTACATATAATATTCTGTTTATCAGGGATCATGAATTAGTGTTTGATATTACAGTCACAAAATTCTGAGTTTGATAATGAATTTTTCTGTTGGGAATAGTTTCTATTTTTTCCAAATATTACAATTTTATTTTTTGTCTATGAGTCTAAGTTTTTTTTATAAGGTGGTGTGTATTTTTCTTTTCTTTTATTTATTTTTTTTTAAAAAAAATTGCATGTCAGTCTTCCCCTCCACACGTCAGATTATGGCTAGACTGCATTAGTTGATTTGGGAAAATCCAAAGCTTATCCCTTTTATTGCCAAAATTAAAAGGTTGGAATATGATATAACACACATCAGAACTAAATGCAAATACAATAAAGGTTAGAATTTAATTTGCAATTTAGCTCTCTAAATATTGACAAAACTAATAAGAGAATAATACTAAGCATTTGCAAGACTAAACACACAGATCCTTCAGGAGGTGACAATTTTAAATGAAGTATAGAAGAAACAGCAGATGTCAAAATTTACATGATCATTTGTTGGATAATTTCAGATGAAGAGATTCAAATTGAAAAAGAGAAGAAAAAAAAAAAAACTTACAATAAGGTAAATGATTGAGAAGCATGCTATCGTCCAATATCTCCCGAGATAGGCATCGGCCAAAAAAGCCCCAATGAGGGGCGTGATGTAGCACGTCCCCGACCAGTTAGAGACGTTGTTTGAAGCGGTTGCGCTATGCTGGTTGAGACGCTCCTTGAAATAAACCACCAGATTCGAGCTCATCCCGTAGTACGCCAATCGTTCACAACATTCGTTTACTGTTCACTACCCCAAAAATGGCTTTAGATAACACCATTTTTTTCGCTAACATAACGCTTTTAAACTTTATCGAAATGAGTGTTATCTAAAGGCCGATCCATTTACCAAAAAAATGTTTATCAAGCGTTAGGTATTAATACTTGTTCATATTAAATGTTAACTAAAAATATGAATAAAATAATATTTCTTAGACTTTTAACAAATATAAATAATAAATATCTGCAGATGATTAGTAAAAATTTTCAGGCACCTAATATGAAAGGGCAGGCTCTCCATGTTCCAGTTTTGCTCTTGTTTGCAGGGTGTTTAAGGTAATCCACTGTCCCATCTTTGGTGTTTAAATCATGTGCAGCCATAGCTCTGTCTTAACCACCTTGAATCAACAAAATATATCAAGAAGTAAAGTGCTAAATTAAGATGATAATAATAATGATGAAAACATATGGCCAGATTTGGAATTTCAATGTATAACAGCAAATAATAAGCATCGAAATTAAATTAAGAATCTGCAAAGCAGGGTTACCTTAAATTAGTGTTATCTCTGTTAACGGTGTTGACACTAGCTGTGGTCTGAACTCTGAAGTGTGAAGATCACGAGTCAGTGGCAATGCTATATGATGTAATAATAGCCGTTGACTGAAAATAATGGGTGCATAAGCAAGTCAACGAATGCATACTTAGTTTTATTTCGATCAAACGATTATATGTCTCTTTAGATTCTTCTCTTTTTGGATTTGAGTTGGGATCTTCGAAGCTGGGTTTGACGGTTGCATCTCCATGCTTGAGCTTGAATTTGTCTAACGTTATTTGGTTTTTTAGAGGTTGAACGACATGATCCCCAATTAAACGATTTTGACAGTATTTGATTTGAGACGACTTCTAAGAGGATTTGTTTCTTGGATTTTCCTAGATTGTAGATTTTGATTTGTATAACGTTGACTCTAGGTCTAATAGATTTTTTTCGGATCAAACCTTATGTTGGTTGAACTTAGATTTTGACTTGAATACGTTGACTTTATGTCTGATTATTTTTTCTGGGATCAAATGTTATGTTGGTTACATATGGTCAAAACCCGAGCCCGGTCACGGCTCGGCCCACCCTCCCGGGTCATTGGGCTCGAAAACATTGACCCGAACCCGGCACGGACCTAACTGAAATTGTTTTTGTGTAAGTTCTGGTACTCCCTTCTCTGCTCTATTCTCTATCCCTCTCGCAAAAGGGGACTTTCATAAGCTGAATTCAAATTCCCACCAGTCATCAATTGCTGAATTGCGGTTAGGGATTACACTATCGAGGCTTCATATTGCAGCAGCTGGGGCTTTCCACTTCTTCAAGGTTTGTGTCCTGATTCCTTTCAACATCAAGTGCTTTCATAACCTAGATTATCTTTTTACGGCAATAGTTATGAATATCATTCGCTCAAACATATTATTATTATTATTATAGGAGTGAGATTTTGGATGCTCGATAAGCTACCAATTTGGGAATTTTGAACTGAGCATTTGGATTTTAACTATTCTTTTTTCTAGGCTGATTGTACGATAAATGGTGGCATTATGGATTGTTTTAGGTTTCGGAGAAAAATTTTGTGCGAAAACGTGGATTTAGTTGCTGTCCGTTTCGATTTCTTCTGTTTAATGATTATCAGGCGGCGGTGAGATTCCTTTCATGTAGGTTGGGATTTGTTGAGTTTAGTTTATGCAGCTTCTTTGAAAACTTCTGAAATTATTGATTTGCACATCCTTATAATTATTCTAAATTTTATGGATGATGAAAATCAATCGAATACTGTATATCCTGCACCCATTTCTTTCTCTGCTCTCTTTTCTTGCGATATCTTGATAAATCACAACTGATGTTAAGTTGAATATGAGGTTAAGTTTTAAAACGAACGGTATGATTTTATCACTGTCTTGTTTCGGGACTCTCAATTATTGACGAACTAAACGATTCTGCCAGTTGTTGAAGGGTTTGGCAAATGGAGAATAAAAGTTAATATACTCCTGTTCGGAAATAAAGTGATATGATGTGAGAGTAATTTGGTTGCTATTGGTTACCGTCTCGTGCTCCTGAATCCGAAATTGATGCATTGCCTGTTGGATGGGGTCAATGGTTTGGCACACCATTTTGTTTGAGTTATTTTTGTTGTCATACCCTAACTTGCTTTCATTAATCATCGTTCGATGCTAATTCTATCTATTTACTGCTCACTCTCTCACCTGTGAATGTTGCCCACAGTTTTTTAGCTGTTTGAATTACAAATGTTCGTTGCCAGCTAACCCGAAACAAGAAAAATCCTGAAATTTTTCCCGAAATTCTGCC